GGAAGACGCGTCAGTGGGATTAAGGAGGTCCTCGAAGTATTCCTTCCACCGCCTGACAATTTTCTCAGTCGACGTCAGCAGCGCTCCGCCAGCACTATACACAGTATAGCTTGGTTAGCCTGTGGGACTCCGGAGGCAGCCGACAGGTATCGACAGGCCAAGCGGAATGCGGCTCGGGCAGTGGCTGAAGCAAAAACTCGGGTGTGGGAGGAGTTCGGAGAGGCCATGGAAAAAGACTTTCGGACTGCCTCGAAGAGGTTCTGGCAAACCGTCAGGCGTCTCAGGAGGGACGCCTGACGGTTTGTCTGGGGGGCAAAAGCCCCCCAGACAACATAGCCCCTGGGATCCCTGGGACACACAAACCCCTCCACCACGATAAGGTTGCGATTCACGGAGGAGTTTTACACAAACACATACACATAAAGTGGATTTTCTTAGCCTTGCTGAACTTTATACATATTTTTTAATCTAAGTCTGTGTGGGTTTGGAGGTTTTGTGTAAGGTCTTTCTTGTGATTGTTAAGACTGATTGTGGAATAGAAAACTAATTGACCATCACCAATTTGCTGGCTCCACAATGCAGTGATGTACACATTCACCTCGTCTTTTCTGCGAGGTGGCACAGTTGCTTTTAGGGTTGGGTCAGGACGAGCACCAAATCAAACACCAATCAGACCTCTTGTGAATAAGGGAACAGCTAAAAGTAGCATTTAATTTTAATAATCCAGCTGTGAAAATTGTAGCTGTGTGAATAATCTTTGCTTATGGGTTTGGGCTGATCAATCATGATGTTATTTTTGCTCCAATTGACATCTGAAAATCATTTTAACAACCCATTTGGTGTAATCTCTCTTAGATGTTGGAGTTGCAACACTGATGCACATTTCTTTTTTTCTTTTTTGTATGTGTATAATTTGTGTATAATTGTTAATGTGAGAGAACTTGATGTATGCTAACAGCAGCTGGAAACACTCAAGCTTTCAGCCAGATTTCCCGCGTCGCCTTGGCAGCATCTTTGCATTAGCCCATAGATGCTTTTCCAAAAAATGCTGCTGCCCACGCACACATAACCTTAATTACACAAACACGACCCCAAACAGGACATTACTCACTCATTCTCTCTCCCTTTTCATATTGAAACACAAGGTCAGTGAGTGTTCCTGCAGCCAGAATTGTGGGGGAGAGGGCTGACTGTAGCAGAAGGCTATACCATTGGCTGTTGCAGCCCGTCCAAGGCTAAGGTGACCAAGACCCAGCCATGTGCTGCGAGGACTCAGCGTTCCTCTGTGGCGGTGGAGGTCATTCTGTCTCGCTCTCACTCTCTGTAGCACCCTCGCTCTCTCTTCTCCATTATCTGTGCGAGGCACAATTTCAGCTTGAGTGCAGCCAGAAATAAAACATGCAGACATTCAACAGACTATTTTATAAGTAGATCTGTGCATTCGCTTTAACACAAAAACATGTTTTAGAGACTTTTTATTAAATTTTCATCCCTATTCAAAGAAAAACTTTTCCCAAAGCATGCTGATCATAATAATTTGAAGGGATTTTAAATATATGTTTTGGGGGTTTTTCTTTTAATTTGTCATGTCAGAATTTTTTTTACAAAAAAACTTGCAGCATATCAGGCTTTGATTTAGAAAAGTACAAAATACAAAATTAAATTCAGTTTTATTTATACAGCGTCAAATCAGAACAATAGTCGCCTCAAGATGCCTTATATTGTAATATAAACCCTACAATAATACTATATGTTTACCTATAATGACTATATCAGAGCAATGGGGAATTCTAAAACTACATTTAGCTGTGCTTGTAGTGCAATTGAGGCCTGTATTGTCTACAGTAGAAAGTTTTAAAATTCATTCAGATTGTCTTTATTTAGTTCTTTTACTGACGAGGTTATTTCATGAATGATTGTAAAACCTTTTTTTTATATATATATATAAAATCTCACATACCAAAATTACTAAGAGGCTCTTGGCTGGTAAAATTTCTCCTCTGGTGGAGGGACCCTGGGCAGGATGAAGTGATAACAGCTCTGAATAGGTTTACTGTCACTTTTTCAAATCGGCACGGTTTGTGTGCAGGGTCAAGCCCCAAACAAAGGCTGGACTGCTTCCATTGTCTGATTAAGACAAAAAGAGTCCTGCTGATGCTGTGGCTCTTGCTGCTGTAAGGACGACTGATGGGATTTAAGTGCGTGTCCCGTCACCGAGGGCAACCTGGTGCCTATTAATCGGGAGAATGGAGGAGATGTGGCGAGAGAGTGAGGGGGTAACGGGGGTGGGGTGCTGCCGATGCAGCAGTGCCGCCTGGGGTCAGGAAGAGGGGTATGATGGATACAGCTGATCGCCCTGTAAGGAAGTTTAGAGGGAAAGAGGAGGAGGCTCCTTCTCCAGGACATTAAGAAGCCTCTTTGTCATGCTGTCAGTCAAATAGATT